CGTTTATATAAATCGTTCTCGAATCTCATGTTCCTGCACTATTCCTACGTTGGTTCACTCCGTTATCACTCCAATCAAAATTCTTAAAACGAGAGGACGTGGTCATAAATCACCACCCTCGTTTAATTCCAAACTTCACGTGATTAATATTGTTTGTGTACTATGTCCAATTTTCCGAATCCGAGAAATTATGGACCGAAATGTCACAGGTGTCCTAAGTTCGTGTCATTTTATCTCTAGGTGCACATGCGTAATTCCGACACTTTGGATACTCGGATGTATAGAATCAAATTCGGAACGTATACTAATCGGATGCAGTGCGCAAACGCGCTCATTGTTAAATTATATAGTTATAGAGGCCCTTTTGGAGTGAATGTTACTGTAGGGCTACTAGCACTATACGGCATGACTAGCGCGAGAGCGACATAAAGCGCGAACTCTCTATGCGAGAAAGCACTATCTCGCGTTTTATGTCGCTCTCGCGCAAGTCGCGCCCTTTTGTGTTAGCCCTACTGGATTGTGTTTAGTAGAGACTGTTTTATACTAATTGTATTGTCTTATATCATTTTATGTTACAACTTTTATTTCTACTTTTAAATAAATTATGTGCATCGATCTTTCCTTTCATTTCGCCAGGCTAGGTTAGAGATGTGTTAAGAAGGATTAAGATATTACGGCATTGTCTTAAAGATAAAAACATTGTCTAGACAATATGCTTAGCCTTATGCGATTACCGAATCTTTTAGATAACATTTTTATTACATCAAATTGGGGGTGTGACACTACAACTGATTGTAATAATGAGAAATTCGTACTGTTTTGTATACATCGCATTTTATTAAGGAAGATAAGTGAATACGTATTAGCTATAACATGCTTTAAAAAGTCATATTGGTTTCAAATACAATTGTGCAAGGATTTTGAACAGGATAGTTAGTATCTTATCAATTCGTACAGTGGACAAAATTGTACATTGAACTTTCGATAAAATTTTGTTTTTTAAAGATTATCTTTATACTGTCTGTTATTTACGATATTTATTTACAAAAAAAATTGCGCAGTTAGATTTGCAAAAAGAAATGCATTTCATTATGCTTAATCTATAGAATTTAATCTAGCATCAAGTACATTACGATATTTCATTTTGTTTATTTCTTTGTTTACTCTTTTTATTGCGCAGTTTACAGTGTACTGCACTTAAATACGAGTACCTACTTGTTTTGGTGAATATAAGTACCTAGAGTTAGAATTTTTAACGACAAAATATAAATAAATGATGACCTATCCAACCCAGCAACCAAACACAAATCTTCTAATTTTGGCATGATTATACTAAAACAAGTGGTACAGGGTTTCCCATCTAAAGTGATCCAAAAAGATAGGGGACATCGTAAAGACCGATTTAAAATAAATATTTTTTTCGAGGAGATCGATACTTTAGAAGTACAAATTTTTTAAAATATTATTGCACTAGTTATCAAAATTTGAAATTTATTTATTCACTTTAGTTTGAAAACTATTCCACTAAATCAAATGAAATTTGTTATGGGAAATAAAATTATTGGTGATTTATTTTTGGTTCATGAAAAACGTTCTATTTTCTAAAAATCCGAAATGACGAGAAATTAATTATACTACCTTGATAACCAACAACTAAGGTGTTTTATAATATCCTTCTTAATTCTGTAGGATTGAAAGCTACCAGGAATCGAACCTTAAGAGCCAAATAGCCGTCGCACACCGGTCGGTGGATCCCGGCGCATACCGGTGATCCCAGTGCTTGCCGGCGCTTTCCGCCGCGGCATCCTCTAGCGTGCTCTTCAATGCCGCAGAGAGAAATGCGCCGAGGTCGGTCTCGAGAGCATTCAGTGCATTGAAATTAAAACCTTATTACAATTGAAATAGTATATATTATGATATACATTGATACATTTAATGTCCTCTGCCTTCCGCCGGTTTGCGCTGGCCTTATTGCCACTGAATTTTTTTTTTGGCGTAAATCTCGTTTTAAGGTACGTACGCACGTATGTACGGGCGTACAGATTTAATAAGGTTTCGATAACGTAATTCCTAACTTTAATTTCGAATTTGTAAAAAAGTTAAATCATCATAATTTGACCACCTCTCTCGGTGTCTCAGCGGTTCAAACTATGCGCTAGGTGAGGAGGTTCGATTCCCGGTAAAACTAATTCAGGAAATGAACTTTTGTAAATTGACCCTGGTTTGGGAGTTTAGAGTAAAGCTTCGAAGTTAATTTTAATATTCTGGTACTCATTGTACAAAGAATTTTCTAGTCATATATGAAATACTTTAAAGAATTAGAACAATAATGCTCATGCGTACAACAAAGGTATGAATTTCCGTTTTACATTTATAGATCAATGAATCGCTTCACCTTGAATTTAAATAAGGCAAACGTATTTTTGCGATTTAGAAATCAAGATGTTTGTAGTCCTTATTACCTAAAGTTATGTAAATTGTACTGTATAGTAAACACGAGAAGTGTAACATAGAGACGTTATTATAGGGCCGATTATTAGATTATTTCACTGCCCCAAATTCAAGGAGGATTTTCGTTTAATTTGTGTTATTAAAAAATATTATGAAACAATAATGGAGTTCATCGTATTGCCTATTATTGTTACTTTAAATTTATTATACGTCTAAAATTCTATCCTCCTTGTCATAACTAACGCATTTGCATTTTGGTGACTTTTGAAATATTGGCACCTAAAGTTGTTTTTTCTTTGAAAAACGACAATTATGCTGATTTTGCTTAACAACTATAAAACTGAAACTAAATAAGATATTAAAAAACTGCTTATAGGGGGTTGTAGATCTTGTTTTGCTGATTCCATATATGTTAATAACTCGATTTTGCTAAAAATGGCGATTACGTTACTTATGATAAGGATGGCAGAATTACTAAGCATTCAATAAATTTCTTCGAAAGCACTTAACGCCTGTTCTTTAACGTTGCGTTATAATTTTATAATGCTGCTTCTTCTACCAGAAACTTTGTTATTTGTTAAGCTATCTGAGCACTCTTGTAGGCGTAACCTTTACTCTACACAGCGACACGGTAAGTATGTTGAAAGACGTCAATGGTCAGCGTTTGGACTTTGCCCCGAGCACCAACACCGTAACCGTCGAGAACATTCTTTATAGGTATAATATGGCAGTGTTTATTGTGGCTACGTACTTTCCTACAAACACCGATGTTCGTTGATTATGGTATACTATTTACCGGATCACTGGTCAGTTAATCATCGCAACAGGTATTATCTTCATAGCGTGTTCGATTAAATTAATATGCAAGGATTGTAGTTGTAAAGTACTCACCCATATTATATCCTTTACTTTTTTAATTATGATCTGTTTGCATTAACTCAGTGATTATTATTTTTGGTAGGGCTGTTTGTTATTAAAGTCTATATTGGCTTTACGTATGATAAATACGGTTAACTATTGACTGAATCTAAAGTAATTAAATTCCCTAAACATCTTTACGTATGTGTTGTTCATCTAAGTACGCATAAAGAGGTAAAATGTTTTAAGGTTTAAAAAGTTGCAGTTCCCTTTTCTGAAATAAGCAAGCATAGGTGTCATGATCACATTTTTTAATTTGACCTGAACCTACAAAAGGCTACCCTTATGTTAGAATGAGAAGTTTTCAATAACAACGAACAATAAGTTGTAATATTTCGAGTTCTTTAGTTTTTGCGATTGTTACATAGGAAATGAAACTATTTTTCGGATCTAAAACGCGTATATTTAGTTTCATTTCGTATAAGTAGTAAAGTAAATTTAAATCATATATATTTAAGAGTAAACTAAAGATGAGCATGTAGGTTCTATACAAATTCAATCACTAGGTACCTTTCGTGATCATACACTTTAGACTTCTTATCTTTCCACTGACAATAACAATGTGTTCATTCATATTTTTGGTTGTTAACATCATGGGAAAAAGTTCCAAGTTGAAAAATGTATGAAAATTGAAATTATAAATCACCAGAAACCAATCACATTGTCAGAGGAGTGTATCCGCCTTCATATTTATTAATAATCGATAACATGACGTTGCACTATTTGAAAACGTAGATAATCGAATTATTTGTTTTATCAGTCGGTGGGTGTGTATGTAACTATTGTCCGCTATGTATTGCGAGTAAATTAAAAATATCCCGTCTCTGCTGCGTTTATGCTACTGTACTGTGCAGCTTGCTTATTTTCCAAAGTGTATTTTAAATTGGTCGTATTTTACGGCCAAGGCCTCGCTGTCCCACCTTTTACTACTGCGTTGTTTGGACTTTGCAATCATATCCCACCAGGCAGTGCTACAGATCGGTCGGTCGTTCGAAACTTGTGAATTATCCGCGGAAAACGGAAAGCATTTTACCCTTTTTCTCAACAAGAGAGCAGTAGAAATGTATTCCATTGCTGAAGTTACCTTGGCCTTCGTAGTTCTTTACGTTTTCTCTTTCTTGTTCGAAGTAGTTAGCTCACTCGTACTCTAAAATGCGGGTGACTTTCTAATTTTACAAAAAATGTGATATTTTTCTATAAGTATATGTTAATTAAGTTAGGATTTAAGTTAATTAGTCAATCTATCAATGCAACGACTAGAATTAAAGAATTAATTTATTTATGTAAAAATTATGAACCTTTCGTCTTTCTCTGCGCGCATCGTCGTATCATTTCGGTAAGTTTTTTTGTTGATTTTATTTTATTTTTAACTTATTACCTTATTTTTACGGGTAATATTTTCATCTATTGCTTTCAAAATTTTGTAAAATTTATTATTAAAATAAGTTCAGAAGTGCGTAGAATCATTAATAAATGCTTGATTCGAAAAAAATTAGGTAAAACCAATTTATGTCATGCACACAGTGCTCGTAATTTTATTATAATTTGTCTTGTCGGAATGTAATTCGTTAAAACGTATCGATTAATAATTATGTGAGTTGGCGCCATATTCAAAGTTTGTCTCCTTTTAGCGCCATCTGTGTGATATGGTCGTTATTATTTGCGATCTTGATGTTGTTCAGTCACTTACATACTATACGCATAAAAATGTTGGACTTTGGACTCATCTCATTCACGTGCGTACCCTACGCCACCATATTATTTTCTTAATATTGAAGATTTTTTATATAAACTAATTACTGCAATTGATTGAATCAGATCATTGATTGAATGTTACTATTATAACGAAGTAATAAGCAAAATATTCAGAAATAAATTATTTTTTTCAATAGGTAATAAAATCCACTCGCTGTTGCTGTAATAGGACAACCCTATAAAAAAATAATGTCAATTGTCAATATCAGTTGTTTTGCCACTTATGCTTTTATTTGCAGATTTTGCTTTTAAAAGGACTGAAAATGAGGTATCTAAAAGTACACAAATTGTTCATAAAGCAAAATAAGCTTGTATTAAGTAGGCGAACTTATTCTGTAGCGCATAACAGCAAATGGCAAAGTGTTGTTGGCTTAGAAGTTCACGCCCAGTTGAATACGGAATCGAAGTTGTTCTCTGGCGCACGTAATACGTTTGGTGGTGTAGTAAACGACTGTGTATCATTATTTGACGCTGCGATACCCGGAACTTTACCAGTATTGAACAGAAAGTGTGTAGAATTAGGTATATTGACTGCTTTATCCTTGTCGTGTAAAGTGCATGAAGTATCAACTTTTGATAGAAAACATTACTTTTACGCGGATCTTCCGGCTGGTTATCAGATTACACAGCAAAGAGCACCTTTGGCTAGTGACGGCGTTATTAATTTTCAGGTATTCATAGTTTACGATATAACCTGTTTACGCTTTCATTAATTAAACTTCATCGCTATTCTTGTGATACTCTGTGATCACCTTGTCCTTTAATTTGAAAATTTAATTTTGGAATACTTAACATTTAACCTAATGCAAATTGCGCAGTTGTGAAACATTGATTTTAATTGCCTAGTTTCTGGTTAACTAGGTCATCTTTCCTGCACAAATTTTTATTGCTATTAGCCCACATACATTTTTATTTGACTCACAATGTATGAACAAATAGTATTTGCAACCACTATTAATGAAAGAAGCCCCACATTCTACCACAGCCCTGTCTTTGTTACATTCTAAATGCATTTTGAAATTCTATGTGACATGTGTGGTTTTAAGTAAAACCTTTGTATCTATTGTTCCAGGTTTTCACACCAGGAGTCCACAAGAAACCATATTCAAAGAGCTCAAAGATAAAGCAGATTCAGCTAGAACAAGATAGTGGCAAATCACTGCACGATGCAGAGTTAAAGCGCAGCCTTGTAGATCTCAACAGAGCAGGGGCCCCGCTGATTGAACTAGTGTTTGAACCAGATTTAGAGGTTATTTTCTTTTCTTTGCTCATTTACAGTTATAAAAATTACCAACATTAAAAACTACATAATATTTTATTGTACAAACCATTTTTTTCCAACCTCTGCATAAGTTATTTTTAGAAAAAATTTGCTACAAATAATGCTAAAAGTTATAGTATAATACAGGTGATGACAACTTTTGATGAGAACAAGATACCATTCTGACTTGATCCCTCTTTTATTACAGGATGGTGAAGAAGCTGCTGCACTAGTCAAAGAGTTGGTGCTAATAGTACAGCGATTGGGAGCATGCACTGGTCGCTTGGAAGAGGGAGCGTTGCGAGTAGACGCTAATGTGTCGCTGCGACGCCCTGGCGATCCGCTATCGACTAGAACTGAGGTGTGTGTACAATACAATACTGTCTATTGCAACTAGCATAAAATAGCATTTTTTGCTTTTCAACTTAATTCCTTTTTTATGTATATTATAGATTCCATGTTTGATAGTAAACAAAACACGTGTTTGTGATGTCTTTACTTTTAAATATATAATCTATGATATTCACAAAACTGGTATATTTAACTTCAAAAGTAAAAATGCTATGTTGTGGCCTACAACAACTTACATGGGAGGCATCTATACATATCTTAACTGATAATTTTGGTACTTGGTACTTGGTGTAACAGGCTGGTGTCCGCAACTAGAGATCAAGGTGCCTATTTTGCGTGTGGTAGGTAAGCGTGACTGATACTTATAAATAGCTTACTTTTTGGTGGTTGTTACATTACAGTGTTTAACAAATTTTCCAAAAAGGTTTTGTTTCTGATTTGACACTATTGGTTTCTGTTCCATTGAGCAGCGAGTATGTAGAAAAGTTAGCTATACCCCTTTAAGTTTGCTTTTGTGGATATCATAGTAGTGTTTCCTAAGCTGCCTTTTATTTTATATTTTTTATATTTATGTAGCTGCATAGTGGTATTTACATAATCACGCAAATCTAAATATTTGGAGAACATTTTTGAAAATTTGTATGTTTAGTTAATGGTAATAATTAAATTTTCAACTTTTCATTGTCCTGACCACATAAGCAAAGTTTTTCCGGGAAATACAGTTTTTTCATGTTTTTATTTTAGAACCAATTAGAAAATGATATTGATAACCCTGAAACAAAAATTACATGGTGTTATTTATTATGGGACTTAAGTTTTCAATGTTTATATTGCTATATTTGCAACCCTTGAAATTTGCAAAAAAATTTATTGTGCCAATCTATAAAACTTAACATTACAATTTAAACAGTTTCTGGTTTTATTTCAGATAAAGAACATAGGGTCAATCCGCGGCGTGGCGGGTGCGGTACGGCATGAAATCGGCCGGCAACGCAGTGTTCTTGAGCGCGGCGGCACCATCGTGAACGAGACCCGCTCATGGGACGCCACTAATAAGGTCACCATTTCGATGAGGGACAAAGAAACTGTACAGGATTATAGGTGAGAACTTTGCTACGTATTCCAAAAAAACTTGTAATACATCTCATCCGCCTGTAATAGGCAGTTTACTGAGGGATGTGGACAAATTTCCATATTGCCAGAATGGGTGGTTTAACGATTAAAGTTCTAAATGAATGAGAGAGAAAATTACCTAAATGCATCTCTAGAGGCCCTGCCTATGTTTCACCCAAAACTAAAATATGTTTTTAGGACATTTAGTAAAATATGTCTCAGATTTTCCAGCCTTTTTCTTAAAATACATCATGATGACAAATAGGAATAAAAATAACTCATGAATAAAATTTTAGTTTTTAGTAACGTTATATTTTTTGAACTTCTTCATACAAAATTTATTATATTTTTTGTGAAAGTACGCCGCTAGTTTGTTGTTATAATAATTGATATAAAAATCGAACGAACTCAAAAAAAAAAGATCCTTCGATCTGTCTGGACTCGAACTAACGACATTTTCGCTTAATGCTTTCTATAGTAACTCTGACAATGGAAGCGCACACTGTATGTCTTTTATTTTGTATCACTTGCTGTCTTTATAACCCACAGTAAAATATGAAAAGTATGACACAATATTGATGAAACTTGGAATTACCTTATCCAAGACTTTATCAATGAGTATTTTTACAAACAACAATTTTAGTAATGAATATTCTTTTGTCTTTCCAGATACATGCCGGAGCCGAATCTACCACCGCTACGTGTCAACTTAAAAACCCAAATAAGCAGCCAAGACGTTATCAGTGTACCACTAATTCAAGAGACAATTCCAGAACTTCCTGAACAAACTAGAAAACGCCTCATAGAAACTTATAAACTGCGTTCAGAAACTGCAATACAATTAGTCAATGAACCTGTGTTATTGGAATATTTCCAAGAATTAATTTCCGATTCGAGAAATCCGATTAAAGTGTCGAATTTGCTAATTAACGATCTGTTGACTGCACTAAATAAAAGAAAAGTCGATGTGGATGATTGCCCTGTTACTGTTACTGTGAAACAAATGAAAGAACTTACTGACTTGTTATTCCAAAAAGAAATTAACTTAGACATGTTTAGAAAAGTTTTAGATGAACTACTACAATCTTGTGATAGTGATAATTCTCCTTTAAGGATAATTAAAGAAAAGGGCTGGTCAATTATCAATAACGAAAAAGAGATCACAACAAAATGTATAGAAATAATAAAAAATAATCCAAAATTAGTTAAACAGTATAAAGAAGGTAAGGTAAAAGTTTTCAAAGCTTTATTAGGTATGTTGGCTAAGGATACTCAAAATAAATTCGATATGTCTGCTGCGTCTAAAAAGATGGAAGAGTTATTAAAGGATAAATAAAACGGAATCTTGAAAGTGATTTGTTTCATTACAAAGTTAAACCATCCCTTGCAAAATACGTATCAAGTACAGGGTAGGCCTTATATTTTAAAGCGAGTTTATCCATAAAGATACTAGGCTAAATTAGCCAGTTATACATTTGAAAATCTGTAAAATTATTCTTTTGGAAATTCTCTGAACTAATAGAGAAAAAAGCTAAACAGTAAAAAAAAAACTGTAGCTACAATTACATGCACTTTCGATACCTATTCAAAGCCTATTTATTCTTATTGTAATACTAAATTAAACTATGTACTTTTTTCAATAGCAACCTCCTTTAAAGTTTTAGATGCGACTTCAAATTGTTATTAGAACTAAAATGGCGGTCACGATCGTCAAAGACAATTTGACATTGTAAAACAGCTATTCGTAAATCACTCGTTGAGTACTACCCGCATGAATTACAGCATTGGCATGCATCGCCAACTTGCTCGTATTTTACGAAGGTTGTTTGTTTACGAAGTCGCACGCGCCCCGAATACCAACCCACTGCAGCTCTTTGCAATTCAGGGGTGATAAACTTAAGTGTATACTTCTATTCTTATGTTTTTTCTTTACAAAATTTCGCCTTTCTAATTAGTTGAAGAAGTTTACTTGTAAACAGACACTGTGCACTCTCATAAGTAATACAGTCCTCCTTTCTCTCTTTTAACAATTTTAAATTTTAATTTTTTTATATATTTTTTCTATTTTAAATATATGTATTTTTTATAATATCACGTGACGGGACGGACAAGTCGTGCGCCTGATGGTAAGCTACACGCCTTAACAATTGCAGTGCCTTGCAGATCTTTAAATCGCAAAGATCTGAGTGGCACTGCCACTGAGCCCATCACCCTGAGGCATAAGTTGACAATTCCCATGTGCCTGTCATTTCACCAGCTCCCCTACCCTTCAAAACCGGAACGCAGTAATGCTAACATTATACTTGGCGGTGGCAGTACTTCCCTGGACGAACTCTTTCACAAGGAGCTCTACTGCTGCTTTCTTTTGCATTTCATTTCAAAACATACCTTAATAACTATAACTAATATTTACACCAAGAATCATATTATTTACGACTTAGAACTACAGAAAAGAAGAACAATTGTTTTCATACTTGTTTCATTGTAAATTAAATTATATAGTTACTTCATATTTTTTGTCTCCTTATGTACGTAATTGTGTATTTAGAAACTGTATTTATGTTAATCGCACATAATTTTTTAATAGTTGACAACTGGCGTGTGAAGTTGTTTACAAGCAAATGAAAGATGCAACACGAACAATTAGCAACAAACGTGCATATTGATACGTACTTAATGGTGAATTTAAGGTACGGATCAAGGGGGGCGCCAAAGCCTCAGGACAAATAAAAGAGTTATCCAATAACAAACGTGACTCTGCGACTATACTTATTACGTACCTATAGTACAACAAGAGTTTATAACAACTTACTCTTTACCTCATGCTTATGAATTGGAATAAAAGGATGATACACCAAATATAATAATCAAAATAAATAGTTAAATACGTTCTAATCGTGGGGACTATTAGCCATTTGATTTTACGCAATAATATTTGTTACGGCTTTATCTTTAGGATCTTGAGGTTAGCTAGGCATTTCATTAATTTATTTGAATAAATGTAGGTATACTTTGTATAGATACAAAAAAATTACCTTTAGTGCCCGTAACAACAGTAATATATTTTTTATATTTGCTTTAAGTCTTGGTTTGTTCAAACTTCCATATAATAAATTGTGGGGGCGCTAACTCTTCAACTACGGCACTGTCTTGAACGTCCTCGTTTTCCAAATAATTGCATTTAGTCAACTTTAGTCACTACGTTCAGAGACACCGACCAACAATGTGGTCTACCATTGTAACCCTGCTCACAGTAGTGACTATCGCCTGTACTGAAACGACAGTACCGGGCATCAGCAGAACTTTTAGCCAGGGTGTTTCGAGTATGGGCTATAAGATAATATATGGAGATGAAGACATGACTGCGTTCAATGAAGTTGTAAATGACGCTGAGAAAAACGTTTTGAAGCAGAGACATGACAGTATGAATGGCATCGATCCGCTTAAGGCTCAGGATGTGAAATGTTTGATGTCCGTTGACCGTTACTGCTCCGAGGAAATGGGGGCTGTGAAAAGTGAGTAGATATTTATTTTATTCCAATATTTTAGAAAACTTAATTCCACTCCTTACTATCTTGTACTCGTTCTTACCAAGCGAAAGAGAGGAAAACAGAATATGAGAAAAACATTTGCCCTACAGCAGAAAACAGTAAGTAAGTAGTTTATAAGGGAAACAAATCCAACACATTTTGGCATTAAAATGAATATTCTATTAATATATTTGTTCTCTTTGTTTATTTTTAGCATGCTTTATAAATATTTACTAATTTACTGTTGTCTAAGACTTGTGATAGTTATTCATGTAATTTCGCGAGATATTATTTATTAATTTACTGTAAGTTTTTAATTCACTCTAAAGTCATCTTTACGTATTTAGTGTATATCGAACTGCCTCCGTGGCCGAACGGTTACCATGCTGGTCAGTCACGTAGCACTAGAGCTCCTTGTGAAAGAGTTCATCCAGGGTAGTATTGCCACCTTACCTATTTCTGCCGCCAAACAGCAATGTCAGCATTACCGCGTTCCGGTTTTGAAAGGTAAGGGTGCTGCTGAAATTATAGGCACATGGAACTTGTCAACTTATGTCTCAGGGAGACTGGCGCAGTGGCGGTGCCCCTCAGGTCTTTGCAATTTAAAGCTCTGAGTGCCTAGTTGCACTGCAACTGTTATGCATAGGCGGGTAGCTTACTATCAGGCGCACAACTTGTTCGTCCCGTCACTCAATATTATGTAAAAAAAGGTCCCGGGTTCGATTCAGAGTCTTGTGAGTTTGAGTGTATTTTGTGATTATCTATGCGAGGTCCATGGCACCCGCGACACAGGATTTCCCTATGAATGTGTGCGTTGAAAAAAATCTCTTTTCATCACAGGTGTCCTAATCCAAGCTCTGAAAGATGACTGCAAAGCCTGCACTGACCAGCAGAAGACAAGTGCTGGGCGAGTGATTGCTGCTATGATGGCCCATGATCCCACAGCTTGGAAGGTTTTCCTCACCAGGTACAGCGGTCTCGATAAAATTGAGAGAATTATTGGTTAAACTCCTGGCTAAGCTATTTAAAAATTGTACTTATAAAAGTTAATTTGTACGCCATTAATAAAAACTATATCAGCAAGATTTCTGTGCCGGCAAACAAAAATAATTTTTAAAAAGTCCATCTGACCTAATTTATCAAGTACCTATTTGCCACGACCATTTAAAGTTTTATTAAGCTACATTGAATTCAATAGATAGCAAATTAAGGTTAGTGCTCTGTTTCTTCCCTAAAACATTACAGTGGGTTACAGATTATATGAAAATTTTTGGCCTATAATAATTAGGCAAAATATTTGATTGTCGTTGGCCTAAATACGTAAGCCTAATCACATCCATTAATGCCAACTTTTGAGTACCTAGGTACAAAAAACAGAATTACTAGAAATAATTATATGACAGTCTATGATCATACCTTTGTTTTATAACTAAGAAGAAAAGATCTGCGAATATTTTTAGATTTAATTGCCCGGTAATGCTCTTGAAGGGTAAAAAAGAATTTCGTCGAAAAACGAAGTTACGAGGTTATCAAATTTAGCTGACGTAAATAGAACTCTATTTATTTGTTAACTTTACAAGTAGCTATCGGTTGTACAATGTAAATCTGAAATTTTTGTAAGTGGAGGCATGACAAAAAATGTGTATCAAATAATTTTGTAGGTCAGTCCTCCAAATAAAGAAGAGACGAAAACGTTCATCTGTAACATCTAAAACTGAGCAAACAAACAATCGCTATACACCAAACGTGGACTTTGATTTCGTTACCGCTGAGGAAATAGAGAATTCTAGAAATAGAATAGCAGCGCACGGTGTGCGTGTTCGAGTTAGGAGATTTGGATTCGAGAAGGTTTCAAACTTGAAAGATGAGACGGTTTTGTACCTTGATAAAGAAGTTAACATGTGATGAAATTATAATTTAAAATATTGAAGTAAGTTGCTAGTATTTTACACGTCGTTGAATAATATGTAGGTAAGACTTGTGTCTCAGGGTGACGGGCGCAGTGGCAGTGACCCTCAGATTTTTCGATTTAAAGCTCTGAGTGGCGCTGCAACTGTTATGGTCAGGCGTGTCGCTTACCATCAGGCGCACGACTTGTTCGTTCCCTCGCTTGATATTATAAATAAAACATTGCGCACATAGTATTAACTCAAAAATTGTTTCAAATTCAAGTCACAAATTCAGTTACGGGGCAATGAATACATTTCAATCCTAAAGTCCCTGGTGGTACTCATCATTTGCCATTTCCTAAGTTTGAAACCCTAGAAAACAAAAATCTTAAAAAAATCTCAAAAATCTTAAAAATTTTAATCTATAAATATTCAGTTTCTACTTACTTGGATAACAGAAATCGATGTGTAGTCTATATTTAGCTCTTTGAGATTTTTTGTATGTGTGATATTTTCCATAATAATTATTGTAAATGAGAAATGAGAACCTGTGAGAATTGTATCTACAAAGAGCAATTTATTGGTTGTTATTTTTCTCGAGTGAGTCTGCGTTGCGGATCATTAGGGATGTTTCAGACAATTTCACTTGTTTAAGTGCAATTTGCATTCTGTAATTTGTTGAAGAAACGTCTATAATAAGAAAAGAAACATCCTTAGTAAGGTCACTTCGAAATTGCGTATTAAAGATGGAGTGAAATAAATGTGGAGTAGATATAAGAGTTTTAAATAAAACTGTAATTGAATTACTAACTCACTTCTTGTTCCCTGAGCGAATAAAGATACTCTATAGAAATTATTCCTGTTTCATTACGTCTATGTAGATGTCATCCCAACTAGAGAATATCAATGAAATTAAGATACTTTAAATTTTGGGTTATCTTGCTTAGTTTCAGCGTCCGGGACGGTTTAAAAGAGATTTATGAGATGATGAATATTGAAACGATACTGATAGCACAATAATCAAGTATAGTAACTCCGTACAAACGTAGCAGCGCGCCTTGAATGTGTGTACGCCCGCCGCGCGTTGTGTACCGAAGCACACATATGCATAATCTTGCGATGCACTCGCGTTGCGTAGCGCTGGTCGTCACACGCGCCTGTAATTGCTATTAATAATAATAACGCTCACACTCAACATAGCCCCGCACTAGGGAAACCTTGTGTCGCGGATGCCATGGACACTCACTTAGATAACCACAAATTACACTCAAACTCACAAGACCGACTCTGAATGGAACCCGGGACCTTTTTTTTTACATAATATTAAGTGACGGGACGAACAAGTTGTGCGCCTGATGGTAAGCTACATGCCTATGCATAACAGTTGCAGTGCAACTAGGCACTCAGAGCTTGAGTGTGAGTTTGGGTGTAATTTGTGGTGTTTTATGGGTGTGTCCATAGCACCTGCGACATAGGATTTCCCTAGTGCGGGCTATGAGTGTGTACGTTATTTATTATTTTTTTATTTATACTATTATGCGAATGTGTGCGTCCGTACATGCGCACAGCGGGTGTGCACACATACAAGTTGCGCTGCTAGGTTTGTATGAAATTGCCATACTTGTCTTATTATACTATGCTATATTAGTGTATAATAATTATGTACCGAATTTTGTTACTTTATTTTTCTCCGTAAACATAACACTTACATAAGAATTTAGATAATATACACAGTTAAATTTATTACAGTATGTTTGCAAGAGACTGATTCCTAAAGTAAACCGAAGCTTGTAAGTATAGGTAACCAGGTCCCTCACCTCGGACAACAATTGTTATATAAAACATTGTAAAAATATTGACCGACAAATATAAATTAATGAGATTTATTAATGGTAAGTCAAAAGTAGTAGTAACTACGTTTCAACAAACACTTCGTAATTATCTCCTTAGCTTCATATTTTGTGCGGTGTTAAATATTGAGTAGATGATTAAATACATTGTAAAGCCGACTAACTCTGAAGTGAAAGAACTTTTTTAAAAAAGAAAAGAAGAAAAGAAGTTCTGAAGGTGTTATGGTCGGAACTAGAGATTCTTCGATTTGTTGTAGACAGTAGAGGTTCTGGAAGAGGGAATAATAGAGTATTGCCGTAATAAAGTTAAGAGAAGATACAACTTTCGCACTGATAGTACGTTCGTTTCGAGGTACGAGTACAGTTGGGATGTAGGAAAAATGACGTAGCGAATAAAAGGATATTACTTATAATTTCTTGTTGTACTTGTCAGCAACTATATATTTGCATGGCAGATTTAAAAAAATAACCTGTATGTGCCATGTAAATACTCGTACATACATGCATACGCAAATGTTGAGCCATCCAGATAATAATACTAAAATTGTTTTCAATTTCATCCCATTTTATTTGCGACTTTCGTGTTATCGTTGTCCATTTTTCACAGCCAGTTTTTATAAATTAATCAATAAGGAAGGAAAGTATTTACGATTTATATGGCAGTCAGCTTTTCTGCATGCATTTTAAGAATTTCTCAACAGATATTTTTTATCATGTGTTCCCAAGATATGATTGCGTTCACTTTTGTAGTGCTATGTTTCGGTATTTGTAAAGAATTGTTATGTTAAGAAATGCGTACAAAAGAACCCTCTATAGTTTTAAATCTGATCGTTGTTCTCCGCCGACGTTTTGCTCTCGGTCTTGTGGTCTTCCGCTTTAGTCGTCAATGTTTCCTTGACTTCAGACTTCTCTTTGCTTTCCAAATAGTTTTTCTTGTAAGTGCCGTCGGATTTGTACCTAAATATAAAAATGATATGGAAATTATATAAAAAAATATTAATATTAATATAAAAAAATGATATGGAAATTACCGACTAAAGCCAGGATAAAATCAGTTTAAGGGTGAAAATTAAATACTCGTTGGCAGTGTATGACAACGAAGCATGAAACTTAGTATAGGTATTGTATTATTTGAAAACTGCTGTCCACGACAGTAGTCAGGCAGAAGAGTTTTATACTTCAGCAATGCTTCAGTAACGCAATGATGTCAACCTACTAAGTTGCTTGTTGTGGCGCATTGCGCGCGCGCAATTTCAACGTACCGTGTGTCATGCTGTTCTGATTATGTAATACAACACAGCGTCACAACGCAATGTCTTCGCAACGTCGGCGCATCGCATCGTGTGGCATAGCTCTTAGAGTTTTATATATTTAAGGGATAAAAGAAGACGTGCTATAATTCATACTTGATTTCAATCCATTAGTAGCGACGTAAAATAAAACATTGCAAAACTGCAATTATCAAAATATTCGTAAGAGCTAAGTTGAACCAGTTAAAAATGAATGTAGACTACTAACTTTTCCTCTAATTTACCCCAGTCGGCAGATCTGTGGTCTATGATGTAGTGCATCACTTGATCCGCTCCCTCGCGTTGTGTCTGCGTGCACTTTTTACAATCATTTTGTATCGCATCGGGCAAATTTCCTGAAAAAATTACAACTCAATACAAATACACTTCAAACAGCTTTCGTAACTGAGGTCAGTGCCTATCAATTTAATCCTATATAAGTAAGTACGTACAATAAATATAACGATTCATTAAAGTAAGTCTAATACATTGTCCTTAACGAATACTTCCGGGTGTTTAGAATTCGTGACAAAAACAAATGACAATTTTGTCGCCTTAAGTAAAGTATGTCTCCATACGTGATCTACACGTCCTTCATTGAATGAAACATCAATGGAATGAATAGAAGAAGATGCCGACTGCCCAGCCTAATTCTTGTAACCTATTATGCTTTGAGATTTCGACAATGGGTTTCTCTGTTTGAACACAACAAAATGGTTGTGCGGATGTATAAACAAATGAAACTTAAATATACTTTGATAATTTTATTTATTTATAAGTGATTCACATTGTCGTTACCAAAATATACTTATTAGGTAATATAGCTATACACCAGCAAACACATTCACCTTGAAAGGCATTGCAACATGGAAGGGAGAGGGGCAGAAATAAAATGTAATTTATCCTGGAAATACTAATATCTCTATATTTTATGTTTTCATGCGCTATAATTTAAGAAATATAACAATGGCAATACTTTTATAAGGCGAGCGGGCATGTTGGTACGGGCTGACCAAGCCGAGTTTACCATGATCAAATTTGGGACGTCCTAAAGGAAAGTATATCAAGAGCAACTTTAGGGTGAGGTTAGACGAGCGTAATCCAGTGAGTTGTGAGTCGCGTTTTTTGAGTCTAAGAGATTTTATTTACACTGCATTTGGTTTCATATAAAAATCTTGTTTGTGCCACACTACGATGAAAAATTAATTGTCTGTCGACTCACGCTTATAATTACGTACGTTCGAATTTCGATCACACGCCGTTGGCAAGGGTGGAGAGAGGAGTGAGTGAAATATTTTTCGGCATGTGGTAGTACTTTACAAATTGATCTGGAGGCTTACATAGTCTTTCATATAGTATACGAAACTACTCACACTTTAATCTTCCCATATTGAGTGGATGTACCCAGTATTTTGTCTTTTTTTAACATCATCTAATATTATAAATGCATACATTTATAATGGATATACTACACTATACAACATAAACACCCCGTATAAACGCTTAAAAACAACTGAATAAAATACGTCTGTCTGGCGCTTCGACCGAATTTTAGTCACTAACTAAGTAAACTATGAGACTAAAAATCGCGATCCACAACTCGGAAAATTATGCTCGTCTGGACCCACCCTTTAGCTCAATTTACCATTGCCGCGGAACGTAATTGATTTTTTAATATTTGTAACGAAATCATACGTAAATAGCATAATGAACTTCAATCAAGATAGGGTATCTGCGGGAATCCCTGGGACTGACAAATTGATGACAAATGAAATTGACATAAAGTTGATTATGCTATACCTACAAAAACTATGTAAATTGAGCCTTAATCGACGAGCGCGTATGAAAGCATTTTTGATTTAGCAGATGTTTTTCTTCAAAACGTGTATGCATAATAATGTGCCACACTGCTACACCAATTGCCTAGGGAATTTCCTGTACTGTGAGTACCAAAGCAACGGAGTTCAATCTGAGGCCCTTCCCAGAAGACACAGACCAGAAGCAATTTAGAAAAGTCTATTTCCCAATTTGGTCCTACCGGGAATCGACACCGGGACCTGAGGTCGTCATCGAGGTTCAGAGGTGCTTATATGTACCTGTACATTTAGGCACCAGAATTTCATGATCGAAGTTCGCTTTGATTGTTTAAATTTAAAGATAACATTTTATAGTGTTGTTTTGATTTAAAGTATTCCTCATATTTGGCAGTTTCTATATAGTTCCGAAGTTTGAAAATTAAAATAATACAACTGTACATGTAGGCATTCATAATATTTAATATTTTCGTAATTTTCCGCTAGCTACGGGCTACTCCAATCGTAATAAAAACAACGATATGATCAACTTTGATAAATATGTAGATACCATAATTTTGGGTCATTTCACAATCGATTTGATCGAATATTTGTTTTCTCTGGAATGAAATAACATAAACATGGTTACGTAATGCCTCATCCTGTGTTTTATGTTTATATATCAAAATTATAAATGACTGAGCGGTGACAGATAGCCCAGTGAGAGAACAGTGTTTCTTCTTTGAGAGGTCAACAGCTCAAACTCCTGTGGCTACACATACAAACTGTCACTTGTCAGCATCGAGTATATAACCAGAAATAGAGACGAAATATAATTTAATTTGTTTGAAAACTATTCTGCCATATCATTACTGCAACAACTGCGCTCCGATTTTTCTAGCCGAGTTCGAAACAATTGACGGGTGTCGTCAATGGGTGTCGTCAACTGTTTCACTCAGAATCGACCAGTTAACTTGAGTTTTGCTATAATGGACGAAAATTGCAAAATTACATATTTAATATTTAATTACCTATGAAATGTGATTCCGTTTGTTTTATAATAGAAATTGTTGTTTTGCTGTTTTTCCCACACCACCGAATAGAACAGCACGGCGTTGTTAGAGATATTATCTTTATTACAATAAATACAGAATATTTTCTTATTTCGTCTCTATTTCTGGATATATACTCGATGCTTGTCAGGTATATATAAATTTCATTTCAATATAATCTCAGTACAGAGTACTAAAAAACCGACCTCAAAAGTACGTGGTAATTTGCCAAGTTTTATTGAAATATCCCCTAGTTGACCACTATACAGGACTGACACAGGAGATAGTAAAAATCTGTTCTCATTACTCAAAGTACATCGAGAGCGAAAAACGCCTTGAATTGGAGAATATCAAAACCATTAAAATAATTGCTCTAAGTAAAATTTTGGCGTTATTTATAAAAATGATTGTTCATGCGTGATCAGCCCCCTTAGAGGCGGATGATTTTCTTCAAAATGAAATGGGACCACTATGGAGGTAACCTCTTTCCAACAAAAAAAAGAATCATGAAAATCTATTTACGAATACTGGAGTTATTGCGTAACATATATAAAAATAACAAAAAAAAATTCCACTTCTTCGCGTCTGTGCCATTTCGGACGCAAGGCTAACATAGGATCCGATTAGATATGCGTGATTATGTAGCTAATATTCTGCAAATTCGCAAATAAAATGCCAGGATTTAATAACAGCGGCAGCGTTTCAATTCCGTGATCCCAAGACTGCTGCGCTCCTATTCAACGCGTACGTTTAATTCAAGCTTGAGTGCTTTGGTATGGGATTCTCGAGAAGTAAAATATGCCTTAACGATTGAGAGAGTGCAATGCAAGTTTGTTTGTATCTTTAGGCATTACGCCTATTATTAATTTTTTCTTCTTTAATGGTCGGCTTTAATGATATGGCGCGTATAGACGGTGGTTAGTAGCCATCATACGCAAGAGAAAAGAGTTGCGCCTCGACATCACTCTGTGCAACAGCACCAACTGCAGCCTGAGCACATTGTATTCTCGTAGATGTTTGCCCAACTTCGAATAGAATATTAATGTTTTGTTTTTGAGTTGCTGTTTGTTTGTACCGCGTAAGTAATTAACCCTAAAATTAAAAAGTATGTTGCAATTTACTGCAAATTTATGGAGAAGTTTTAAAATAAATCATGATTATATTATTAGAGATTAGCGAAAGAATTGCTCGATTTAATTCCGCCTTCCCTTTTCCATTACTGGGATTAAACGTGGGCTTGGGTTCCACCCCTACTTTGTGGGTATTCCAAGGATTCACACGAAGCGTTAGCTCAATTTATATTGCGGCGGAACGGAGTGGAAGCGAATTTTTGTAACATATCATAATGAACTTTATGGTCAATGGTGTAGCGTACAAACTAGGTACGAGCCAAAATCTTCCACGGAATTGGAAGTTATGTTAAGAAAGCTATGTTATAAAAATTTGCTTCCATTTCGTTCGCCGCAATATAAATTGTGCGTTACGCTTCACACACAGTTATATTGCGAACGCTTATGGTATGGAATTCCCGGCCTGCTTATTTCGTGAACGTTATTTTAACTTGGGACTTTTCAAAGCTAGAGTGAATAGGCATCATTTTTGGTGTGCATGGTACATCGTCGACCACATCGTCACTTACCATCAGGTGAGATGGATGAAATGCGATTTATATTTTATAAAAAAAAGTCTCTTGACCAAATTATGTTACCTACCCACTACTGCTTATTCTTACGCCATGCTTACGCTGCGGAATAGATAATCCATCCGCATTAGAAAAACTGGGTCTATATCGATTTAGAGGCGTGTCGAGCCGAAAAGAACGCCGTGCACTCAACCTTTTTGCCAACCTGAGTAAGGTTAACTCTACAAGGTTTCAATGCACCGACCTCCAGGGCAATTGCGTTTCTGAACGAGTTCCTTGCACTCGATTAGGTAGCTGATGTATTAGGAGACAATTGATCGTAATCCATAGCTGCTATAACACGTTTTATTCATTTATGTTATGATGGAACTAGATAGCTTCATATTTTGTATGCATATGTTTTTTTAAATTAATTTTATTATCATTTTTATACTCAAGATAACAATATTATTACACCGAATATCTTGCTAGGCGTTTTGGATGGAAGAATTTATTGTAAATTAATAAATGGTTTTTTAACTCTTTATTTACTTTACTTTGAGCATTATTGTAAATGATCATCGCCATTACAAAAAAAAATACTTATTAAAATCCAACTAGATAAACCCAATACTACCTAACCAAACATGTATATAAAATCTTCGCGGCACTACATGTTGACTCCGACAAAACGTATTTAAACCACCTGAAATGTATCGAAACCAACCTGTGCAAATAACCGCACCCTGATAGGTTCTATCCGAACACACTTCATGAGCAAATGCAGTACATCCTCAGCTATTTCTTAAGTTTCGCATTCGGTGAATTCTCACTCCGCATCAAATACTAAATTTCGTTTAATGGAACGTGTCCGAATCGAAACCTACTATGAATAAATAAATGTCAAAGAAGCCCGTGGAAAACGTACAAAGCTCCCAATCAGGGTTCGGCCAGTGTGGTAGGCCTAGACTATTTCCCTAGTGAGACCAGCGGGCTCTGGACAGGGACTCCGGAGCCTGCATTGCACGGCCTCACTCGTCTGGGGGGCGGGTCGGAGGACAACCGACTCGCCCCTCCGTTGGCGCGGGAGCCCTAGCGTAAGCTAGGGCGGCCGGGCGGCGCGTCGTGGTGAATGTTCACTGATTCCACGGCGCCGACTCAACCGGCGAGAGGGAAACCCGGGGGGGTTTTAGTAGGGTAGGCCCTCCAGTCTGGAGGGAGAGTCCCCACATAACCCCTGAGTCTCCCTGGGCTCAGGGGTATCCA